TGCAGTTAGATGTGAGTTTCCAAAGAATGACTTGGGCGAGTTCCAAAGAGGTCACATAGTTCCTGAATTACAGGTACATTGGCCACAAAAACTGCACACAGTGCTTTAATGTTAAAGTCACAATGAAATTAAGCGAAACAATAGTCCCTCCAGCAACCTGTCACTCACATGAAACCATCGCAGCAATCAGCAAACAACACTGATCCGACGATCCAATCAATTCCCAATGGACAAAATCAGGTTTCTTGTTCGAGAAGCTGTCTTTCAAAACTGGTATGATTTACTTTTTTCCTTGAAAGACAAGAGCAGTTTTTATACAGAATGTCTGAGCTATTTTTTTTTCCATACCAGACCAGCAATTTCAAGGAGAAGATTCAATTTTGAATCAATCAAATTTTAGTCTGTTTCTCACACATCATATGGTTTCAAACCACTTGGGATATATAGTGCACAACTCGTATGGACTGGATTTTTCTGCTTTTTAGCCTTGGGGCTTGACGGCTTTCAATCACCTCCACTTTCATTATATGGAAGTTCAGAGTTCCACTTCATTCAGTTCAGTTAATCATTTGGGTTTTTTTGCTTCTCCCTCTATGTGCTATACCAGTCTCATGTTTCAGTAAGGAACTGACATTAATAGATGACATGTGTTTGGCATTCATATAAGACAAACAGGAAAGGTAAGGGTGAAAAACCACCTCCACAACTGATAACCAGATTCTGTTTACCTGCACCAGACACACCAGCTCAGGTCCCAGATATGAATGGAAAGTTTTGCTCATTTAATCACTGACAACTAACATCTTTTTGTGCATTTAGTGTCATATTTGATCTCAATTAATAATGCACAGAAATGACAATGTCTCTTATTGGTGTTTTTGAGCTGATTAATATCCCACTACACCTAAACTATTGCACATTTTACAGTCTACACTGCTGTTGAAAAGTTTGGGGTCGGTAAGATATTTATTTATTTATTTATTGAAAGAAGTGTCTTATGCTCACCGAGGCTGTATTTATTTGGCCAGAAAAAAAACAAAAAAAACAGTAACATTGTGCAATATTATTACAACATAAAATAACTGTTTTCTATTTTATTATATTTTAAAATGTAATTTATTGCTGTGATCAAAGCTGAATTTTCAGCATCATTACTCCAGTCTTCAGTGTCACATGATCCTTCAGAAATCATTTTAATATGCTGATCTGCTGCTCAAGTAACATTTATTGTTATTAGCAATGAAAACAGTCTGAGCATGATGAATTTTTTTTCAAGATTTTTTGATGAACAAAGTTTAAAAGAACAACATTTATTTGAAATAGAAATCTTTTGTAACATTATAAAAGTCTTTACTGTCACCTTTGATCAATTTAATGCATCCTTGCTAGTATTCATTTATTTAAAAAAAGTTTTATTGACTTTTAAACCGTAATGTAGGTGAATGAGAATTGTTTACATTGATTAAAAAAATGATTCACTCCAATTTACAAGCAGTTTTAAACCAGTTATTATCTAAGTGCTCAACACACGTGTGCATGATTAGTTGTGTTAAAGTGTGAAGTTCAGCTCTAGTTGTGGTACAGCACGTGACTTCCTTCATCGTGATGTTTCAGGGCTGTAATGAATCCTCATCCACCTCAAACAAGACCAGATTTCTCATCTCTGCGGCTGCAGGCTTTGTTCTTTTTTAGGGGTACTGATATGAGCCAGATTTCATAGATCATAAAACTCATTGACTCATTCATGCAGTCAGTCTAACTAATAACAGTCTTAAAGAAACACCCAGCCTTGATGAAAATGAGTAAAATCTGAATTTAACCAGCATTAATGAGGATTTAAAGAGCTAAACACGTGCTCACAGTGGCAATTTGGTAAATGGCACAATAGTTGAGTCACACAGGCAGTGATGAATATAATAACAGTGCTGCTTGCCAACAGATCCGGTTTCTCAGTTTTCACTGCAGATTCTTTCTTTTTGTTCAGCCATCCAGTGCCGGGAAGAGAGGAATTACAGAGACGGCTCAGCCTTCCTCCGAGCCCACATCTGCCAAGATGTCCTCAGAAACACACGCTGTAGACGCCACCCCGGCCCTCCCTGAGCTTCTAGGAGACATACCTTTCACTTTAGCACCACACATCCTGGCTATGCAGGCGGGCCTGCCCTTTGTAACAGATATCACCTTGCCTCACGACATAAATGACAAACTAGCCAACTTTCATTATGACTTCACCTTGGAGAACTCTGTGCTTTGTGAGCCGTGACTCTTTGCCCATCATTTATATCACTAAACACGTGGTGAACTATGAGCCTTTGCTTGTCAAGATTCTCTAACCGTTTGACTCTTAAATAAATGAAGATCTAGTTTAGCTGACGAAAATCAGTCACTGACTAAATGGTGTTGGGCTCAAATGAACATATTGTCCTTTTAGTTTAAATAGGTTAGCATCAAGATGGTTTACAATCTCTCAGGATCTTGCACTTGATTGTGAGATGAGTGTTACTGCCTTGTTTTAACGCAGTAGATGAGTATTTATAAGATGACCTGCGGCTTTACGTTTTTCAAATGTAGTTCAAATTGTTACGGGTGTAAAATCTGTGCAATTTCGCATTTTGACTCCTGTAGGGGTCCTGTAGCATAAGATGATATGCTGAACTGAAATAGGGTTGTTTTGAAACTGCTATGTTTCTTAGTAGTCGCATTGGGCTGTTTGATGTTTCAGACGTCACAGTCTGTGTTGGCCTTCCTCAGTTCCTTCCTACTTCTGCAAAAACTCGCTGTAATTTATGGAATCGGTTTTAAGACATTTGCTTGCAGATCACTGACTAAAAGCAGTCATGATACACAGGAAAATTATTTTATAGTAATCTATCTCTCAGTGAACTTTAAACATCTAAAAGAAATAATTCTATAATAGAAGTATTTAATTAATATACAAATTATATTTTAAAAATGGCAATCATAAGGGCCTTTTGGCTAGTCCACTGTTCACTGTAACTCTATATTTAGTACCTATAAACCTTAAAGGCAACGCAAAAACACTCCCCGGTCTGCTATTGGTCAGTCAAACAGATAGTCCCGCCCTAAACTGTTGCTATTGGTTGAGTCAGTGTTGCTGTGCCGGGTGGTGGGGATGCTCAACAGAACAATGTCGTAATATTGACGTAGTGCTTGCACTTTTCAGGGGAATCAGTCTAGATCAGGGGTGTCAAACTCAGTTCCTGGAAGGCCGGAGCCCTGCAGAGTTTTGTTCCAGCCCTGCTCCAACACACATACCATGTAGTTTTCGAATAAGCCTGAAGGACTTGATTAGTTGGATCAGGTGTGTTTAATTAGGGTTGAATCTAAAGTCTGCAGGACTTCGGCCCTCCAGGTATTGAGTTTGACACCCCTGGTCAAGAATATAGCTTACTTGTAGTTGTCTCTGCATATTAAGCTGGTATATGAAGTATTTTTTACACGCATCATTTTAAGTTACTTATGAAAGGATTGCACTTAAAATCACGAGACCGACATTGCAGTGCTCATTATAAATAGGCCAATATTATATATTTTTTTTTTCTTTTGTTGGTGTGAATATGCATACCTCAACTGGTGTTTGGTTTTAATGCATGAAGTTTTGAAGTTCTGCCTAAACATAACACACCAGATTTTGGGATGCAGATATGTATTCTGAACAAAGTTGAATTGCAAAAACATGCACATGGGTTTTAGTAGGATTTACTGTTCTGTTTGAATAGGCCACACGGTTGTTGAGCTGGGTTTTTGTTTGTTTCTTTCATCTGAATTTCAGTTAATGGATGGGTTTTATCATAGTGCATGCTGCTATTTACACAATGCACTTAGGAGTTTAGCTGTGTTTCCTTTACACCCTTTGTACTTTACTTGATAGCAGATTAGTTTGTTTACTTGATGCCACTCAAATCTCACTTTTGTTTATTAAAAAAAATATATTTTATTAGTCTTTGTTTTGATTTGTCTGTCTTTCCGACATGGTTATTTCATCTGAGCTTCCTCCTAATGTATCTCGGACATGGACCTATCCTTTTCAAAACACTGTACAGAAGTAGTCAACGTTTGCATTGTGCTGTGTCTGTTTGCTCTTTAAAAATGTCTGTAAAATAATTTAATGCCACTTCTTCAGTTAAATATTATGCCATCACCTTAACTCCTTTGTTGGATTCTTTATCGATTCATATCTGGAACAGAATTCATTATTGATTCTGATCCCACATGACGTTTATGCTAAATTCTGAGCATGAGTGCAATGTACTATGATGATGTTTCATTAAAACCTTCTTTGATAACGTTGTTTTGTTGCAGTTTTGTGTATATTTATATCTTGTAAATATTATTTAGCACATCCAAGGATCTATCACAGATTTCCTACAGAGTAGATAAAAAGCAAAAATGTAAAGGTTAACCAAATGATCAAAATCTAAATTTAAAACATGTGACAACTTGCCCCAACCTGACATTTTTATCCCGACAGCTTGAGTTAAAATTGTAAATTGACCCTTGTCTAAATGTATGTCAGTGTGGTTCACTTGTTTGCCCAACAGCTGTTTGAAAAATATGTTTCTAGGTTGTTGAAACCAACATATAAAAACCACTGATAGAGAAACACACATTTGTACTATTCCTTTTTGTTTTTTTGTTTTTTTTTTACTTAAAACATTATAGTTTGAGATACAACATTTGTGACAATTAGCCCAATTAGCTCATGCTCTTTCCATTGCATACAGTAAAGTCCGTTACACTGACCATCTGTGTTATCTATCTAGTACTAATGTTTGTACCTTCAGATTAGTCTGTCAGTTTACAATCCAAACCAATAGCAAGGCTGAATCCCAAACGTTCTAAACCACAATGAATCAATTGGCTCTTTCCGAGTCCATCATTTTCGCTAGACCAATCATGTTTTAGTTCGATCATGCGATGCACCAATCAGAGGCCGTAAGAGCGTCGGACGCTCCCGCCCACGCGTCTCAGTGACTGCGCCGCCGAAGTGCCTGTCATTTGGAGTAACACCAGGCAAAGAGGGGCGCTGAGACACACGACAGTCCGGATAACATTTCTTCAGCGTCAACTTTTTTTAGGTTTCTAGACTCGGATAAACTACTGACACATTTTAAAGACTAGTTAGCGTCAGCCAATCATCTGCATGACTAAAGGACCAAAACGTTGCTGTAATTGCTACAAGTTCAGCGCACTAACCGACAAGCTGAAGCTGCGCACTACACCAACATTTTAACTGTTGAAAGACTGTGCATCTCAAGAAGTTTAATTAATGACTTAAGTTTAGCTAATGAATGCCTGGGGAGGAATTTATTCGCGTATTTTGCAGTAAAACTACCACATAGTTAGGTTCAGTCATGTCAGCATCACCTGTGCACTCAGCTCGGGTCAGGCGCAGCAATGACGGGTCTCCCATCAACACCACCTCCTCCTCCTCCTCCTCAGCAGCAGCATCATCATCCAGCCCGACCCGCCCTCCCGCGTCCCCCTCCTCCTCCTGCTGCTCCTCCATCTCAGTCGGAAGCAACACAGAACCGACAGCATCAGCCCAGCACAGCAGCTCCTGTCCCGGCAGCCCGACGCTCGCCAGTCCGGCAGGAAGCGGCTCGCTGGACGGTCGGCTGATCCCGCGGCAGAGGCGCTCTCCTCCGGAGCACAGGAGCTCACCCGAGCGCTGCCCTCATTCACCTGTCCTTAGAGGTAAACAACAGGCCCGAATCCTGCTTCGTTTACTGTTATTCATTGAAACATCTTCACATACGCTGCGGCTGGAGTCGTTTAATTGGGTCAGGCTGTTTATGACGGACTGTACAGAATAACATCAATTCTTCACTTAAAACCGTTAATATAACAGAAACGCATATGCATGACAGGTTTATGTTAGATATATATATATCCATTGAATACATGCTTTAGACCCGATTAGCTAAATCTGTCAGACTAATGCGCTCTTGCATCCTAACGCGTTTAAAATGTAATGTGTATAATAATGGTATCTGTGCATCGTGACCGTGGCTGTGTCTTAAAACCTAGATAGGCATCTTAAAGTCCTGCGTTCACATGGAGCACCGACGTCGTTTGGAACCCTGCGCTCCGTTCCATTCCGAACGCGTCCTGTGCTCGCGCCCCCTGTGGCAAGCCGCCTATGTAGTGAGCTCGCTAGGATTAGAGACACGGCCCGCGCTGGTTCGCTCCTGCTAAAGCTAGCGCTCTTGTAGCTTCGTAAACACGCATAACTCCCAATATTTACGTTATTTCCGTGTCTCCGGTATGTCTCTGTATGAGCTCGTATGTGTGTCTTTCTCGGGGTTGTAGTTAATTCGCTGTTATTTACCGGGCAGGGATGGAAAGAATTACGTGGGTAATTGGAGGCTGAGCGGATGTGTGAGTGTGTGAGTGAAGGCCACACAGGGGGCCTTGTCACAAACACTTCAACCCTGCTGCTCTGCTTCATAACACATTATTATGAAACCTAAATGGAGCAAATTGAGCGCATAAAGCTTTATTTAAGAATTTCTATGGCCACTATGTGCTGACTGTATATTTAGGATAAATGAATGAGGATAACATCTAAGCATCTGTTCATTCATTCCCATGACTGCATTATCATATTCATATTCAGGCCAAAAAAAATCATATTTACTACTTTACTACTTGATGACTTAGTATTAGACACCATTGTCATTAGAAAGAAATTGGTTTATGAGGATTTAACAATAATAATAATTGTACAGTGGCTCCAAAATGTATTGCTCTACATATCATATATACAGTAGGAATCAGTGATTTGGACGCTTAATTTAAACATATATGTTTTAAATTCATTGCATTAGATTAATTCATTACAAACTATTAAACCAAATATAATTTATACGTAATCACATTCAGACAGTGAGTCCAAATACTTTGTGAGGCCCGTGTATATGGAAGGAAACTGTGTTTTAAGTATGCAGTCATTTGTGTCTTTATTTATGGTTGCAGTTTTATTAATCTTGTGTCAGAACTATTAGACTGACATTTATTGTCATGGATCCCTGGACATTATTTTGATCTTTGGTTATGAATAGGTGTTTGTGGTAAGGCAGTGTAGCAGAGAAACAGGTTAATGGTGAATGTCCATCTCTCTTGATTATATTGCGAAGAGAATCGTAAAGCTCTCTGAAGGTTTATAAAGGTTAACAGGAAGTGCATCTCATCTAGAGAAAGCATGTGTATTATGAAGGCATGGAACATGAGTGATGTTTCATCACATGACTTTTCATGATTTACTGTGACATAATTTCTGAAAAACGTATGAATTGACTAACATCACAACATTAATTGGCACATGTTTGTGAGTGCAATATGAGTAATATGAGAAGTTTTACTGCTTCATTATTCGTGTTTTTGCATGTTTTAGGTTTTTTCCTGGCTGATGACAGTTTATCTGTCTGTTAGTATTAGTACGTTCTCATCATTACAGAAATATGTTTAAGAAATTCAGGAAGCACATCTAATGAATGTTTGCTTTGCCTTCATTCTCCTTTGTTATGCTTAATATGCCAAGAAAGCAATCTTTCTCTTTTGAGTTCCTTTGGTTTAGAGATTTTTGTTTCTAATTTTAAAAGGAGACAGGCACTGAAAAAAAAAAAAACAATATTTTCCTCTGCCATTTAGGTTTGAATTACAGTTTGAAGTTCTCTCTGCATTTTACTGCAGTGCGCAAAACACTTTTATTTGCCTATGAAAGTATTTTTTAAGTAATAAAAATATTATAATATTTTATTATGTAATTCATTTACTATTTTTTTATTAAACCAAGTAGGGATGTAACGATTAACAGGGTTTCCACAGGTCTTAAAAAAGTCTTAAAAAGTATAAAATTTAGGTGTATCAAATTTAAGGCCTTAAAAAGTCTTAAATTGTACAAGAAAGTCTTAAAGGGTTAGTTCACCCAAAAATGAAAATTAGGCTGCGTTTTACTACCCCCGATGCATCCTAGGTGTATATGACTTTCTTCTTTCAGACGAATCCAGTCGAAGTTATATTAAAAATTGTCCTGGCTATTTCAAGCTCTATCATTGCAGTCAGCAGGTGTTGCATTGCTTCTGTCCAAAAGACGTGAAATAAAAAGCACCTTTCCATAAAAAAAAGTGTCTCACACGGCTCCGGGGGGTGAACAAAGGCCTCCTGTAGCGAATCGATGCGTTTTTGTAAGAAAAATATCCATATTCAAAATGTAATGATCACTTGAATCTAGCTTGCGCTCACTGTTGTAAAACGCAAGCAGTTCCGGGCTCATGACGAATGAGGTCAGCGTTGCGCATGCGCCGCTCAGAAGTCCGGCAGGTTTTTACCCTGCAAACACGCAGAGCTTTAAATGTGAACTGGTAGGGGTGTGCGATATGCATGGTCTGCGATATCGTAATTGTTGTTTTAACGATGTGCGATTTTATATTATCGAGTATATCGTGAAAAGCAAACAAAACACCTACAGAGTGCGCGCATACATTACATGATGAAGTCTAGTAGGTTAGACTAGTGCGCGTGCGCATTTATAGTGCATTCTTTCACTGCATGAATCGGTCTATTAAAATGCATTTAGAATTATATAATTAAAGATATGGGGCAGAAAATGTATATATTTATATAATTTCATATATTTAATATCACACGAAGAGTGCTGTTTTTTCTCCAAAAGTAAGCATGATTACAAATGTGATATTGATTTTATAGAACAGTTCAATAAACAAGAAGTTAATATTAAGAGACTTACATTTTAGACACCATATTTCCTGTTTTTGCTCTATTTCTCCAACAAAAATCATTCCAAACACAGCCACAGCGCTGTTCTGCGTCACTGAGCAACAGGAAGGTGTTTCGTTCGTGAATGAATCAACCGTTTAAATGATTCGACTTGCTGCCACCTACTGGCAGTTTTAATTTCACATTTAAAGTATCTTTTCATTTTTAAAATAATTTCAAACATCAGTTTTTAATGTTTTATGTTTAAAAAAAAATCTAAACATTATTTATGCATTTGTAACTGCAGGTTAAAGTATTCATTGTCCCCCAGAGCCGCATTAAACAGTGTGTACATACATCTAAATGCCACTTCTAATGCAGCTTCTGTATTTCCTCTGCATTGCAAAGATACATTTTGTTGATACTGATTTAATTTGCTAGGTAACAACCCAAATGCAAGAATTTGATTTTGAAAAAATGGCTTAAAGATAAAAATGCCCATAAAACTTGTTGGAAATAATTAATTTCTATCACTGCTGTGAACTGACCACATAGAATATGAAGAATATCAAATAATTCAGGAGTCAGCTGTCAGCACAATTAGAGATAAGGTACCAGCACAATAACACACTCTGCAAAATATTGTCTAATTATTGTTATCGATAAAATCCCAGAAAATTATTGAGATATCATTTTTGGTCAATATCGCACATCCCTTATTTATTTAATTTAATTGATATAATAATTTATTGATAATAATTGTTTAAATTAATATAATAATTAATACTTTTGACTCATCTATTTTCTTTAAAATGATTTAAAGGCTGAAATGTAAAGTTTATCACTTTATAAAACTTTTTGTTTTTGTGAAAACTTGTATCTGAACTGTAAGTTATGCTTTTTACAGTAATTTTACAGTTTAATATGGTACTATAGACATTGCCCTACCCCGCTCATATGGTATTCATTTTATTTGTGCAGGTCTTAAAAAAGTCTTAAAAAGGTCTTAAATTTAAGCTTAAAAATCCTGCAGAAACCCTGTTTTCCCACGATCTTTAACAGCATTAAAGATTAAAAGCAAATGTACCGGTACTTCCTTGAACCCTGTAGAGCTCTATAGCTAAAAATAGCCTGACTGTTAGCACTGGCACGGCATGGTTATGGCACAGTCAAATCAGCGTCACTCTAGTTTCTAATTTTAGTGCTTTGACATTCAGCTAATCTGTGATCACAGTGTACATATATATATTGTTATTTGCATCTCTGAGTGTGACTCATAATTCGGAATGTTTTCTTTTCCTCCTTTTATAGGTAGAGAGTGTTTCGTTCAGATATGTTTTATGTAGTATAGTTTCACAAAACTAAAGTCAGACCATTCTGTTTTTGCTTCAAATTTCGAAATTATACAGTCTAATTTAGATTTAAAAATGCTCATGCTGCATGTATGCTGCATCTATGTTTGGATCATGATTAAAATCCAGTGGTTACCTCTAATTTTAAAGGGGTCATATGATGCAATTTCAAGTTTTCCTTTCTCTTTGGAGTGTTACAAGCTGTTCGTGCATAGATAAGATCCCTAAAGTTGCAAAGACTAAAGTCTCAAACCCAAAAAATTTAAATTTTGTTTTCTTATATTTAAATTTCACAAAGAAACGTGCAGCAATAGCCTAATAAAACAACACCTTTTAATTTACTGTATAATGTCTTCAATCTCAATTTGTTAAAAAAAAAATCGTGAGAAAATTGAATCGTGAAATCAAAATCGTGAATCG